TGTGTGCACATGGGTGAGGGAGGCTGGCTCATCCATGCACTGCCTGTGTGACATGTCCCCTGGACAAGACTTCTCCTGGGGCTGATCTGACTGCACAGCCCCCGCCCCCCGCCCCCAGGAGGGCTGGCAGGGGGGGAACTGTGCCTCTTGAAACCCTCTTTCCATGACGACACTCCTCCTCCAAGGCATATGTGTATATTGTGGTCTTGTGTATATGGGTAAGAGATGTACAATATACGTCTTGTTTGTAGCAGATAGGGTTTTATATTTATAACGTGCGTCTCGTGTGCAGAGGCTGCCTAGGCTCACGTACCATAGAGCTCTGGGCTCTTGTGGTGCTGGAGGTGCCAGGCTGTAGGCATTTCTGCACTAGCACATTAAGAGACGAGTGTTGAATTCCTATTAGGAAAACTTGACTAGAAACTTACATATTGGTTTCAAGTCGCCTGCAGTGCAGGTGGGGCTGAGCCTGCCAAGGACATGGGAGTGAAGCCGCCCCTGGAAGAGCTGGGACGTGAACTGCAGGGTGTCTGCCAACCATCTCCACGCTTGGCGGGGCCTTGCAAAGGGCTCTCCGGCGACCTCCCCCCGAGCACTGTAACGTGGCTGTTGTCTGCAGTGGCACCTTGGGCTGTGGCTGTACAACCCTCCAGGATCCTTGTTAAAGGGGAATGCTTTTCTCCTGCCTCCCTGTCAGATTGGCCCATTGGCCCTTCAGGGCCAAGAAGGGAACCCCAGGCTTGCCTGTGCATCTGTCACACTCCTGGGGAGCAGAGAGGACTGAGGAGATGACTTATGCCCACATGATGCCTCCCTCTCTGCTTTTCCCCTCCCCTAGACCTTGCCTCAATGTGCTTTTAAAAACCAACCTTGAATGTTTTAATGTCACATGTTCTTCTGGCCAAAAGTCTCCATCTCCTTAGTGCCAAGTGTTCATCTCTCTGGGCCACAGGGGGAGTTCTTCCTCTCGCACCAAGGGTTGATCGCGCAAGGCTCCCAGGGACCAGAGCTCACTGGTTATTATTTGAATTGTTCTTTTCAGAAAGAGTCCCAGGGGCAACAGTCAAATAATTGCTGGTCAGGCCAGAGGATGCAAGAACGTGAAAGTGAGAGCTGTGTTGCAATACAACTCCAAGCAGTGTCTCAAGAGTTGCTTTCCTAATCCGGAGTTGTTTCCTCAGGCATTCTGACTTTTCTTTTTGTGTGTGCCTTTTGTTGTTTTCTTGAGCACACCACCTGGTGCTCATTAGTTTAACATGACTAATTAAACCCAAACCCCAGTAAAACCTTGTGCCAGAAGCTGTTTCATTTGTTCAGGAGAAGAGAAAGGGTTCTGCCCCTGGACTGCTGGACGGCCATAGGTAAGTCACTTCACCTTCCCGTGCCTCATCTGTTCCATGGAGATAAGGACACCGAGGCTATGTCTAGACTGCAGGCTTCTTTTGGAAGAAGCTTTTCTGGAAGAGATCTTCTGAAAAAACTTCCGAAAGAGAGCAGCCACACTGCCAAAGTGCATTGAAAAAGTGATCTGCTTTTTCGAAAGATAGCATCTACACTGAATGGACACTATGTCGTATGTAAGCTGTGATTACCAGGGCTCGACAAATAATGTAGTCTGCTCGCCCGTGGCAAGTAGATTGCAACCCGGAAGAGCAGGGATCGGGTGATCTGCGTATGCGCAGATCGCCGGACAGTGCAACTGGCGAATGGGGCTGGCCGCGGTTCGGCGAGCCCTGGTGATTACTGTGAGCGTAATGGCCACCCGGGCACCTGTGCTTTTTCCGTTTTCCTCCTCTTGCGAAAGAACTCCCTCTTCCCCGTCCGCACATGCCTTTTTCTGAAAAAGGCTTCTTCCTCGTAGAAAGAGTTTTACCAATGTCGGAAAACCCCCTCTATTCTTTTGACTTTCTTTCTAAAGAACGCGATTACAGTAAGGACATAGTTGACGTTTTTTCAAAAATACTCTGTAGATATATCCTGTGTTACCAGTACAGCAGGGGTCACCAACCAGTAGACTTAGAGCCTCTGACAGGGGATCCTGATTGGTTTGGCTGGGAGGCTCTCAAGTGCCTGCAGTTCAGCTGGCCCTCCCCACACTGTCTTGCTGTTCCTGCCCAGAGTTGCCCTGTGGGAGTCTCCTGCTTGTTGTGCAGAGTGGGGGAGACAGAGGCAGGATGCTTTGATGTCACACTGTCCCCCTCCCCTGTACCTCGTCTTCACAGAGTGAGGAGGGTGGGGCCTCAGTGAAGGAGTAGAGCAAGGGTATGTCGGTTTGAGGTAGATCCTAGACTGACAAATTAAAAAAGTGATCTTGTGCTTAAAACGGTTAGAGACCACTGCAGTACAGCATGCGAAACAGTGTGGGGGGACACACCAACCAGCCTGTGGACCTATTCATTAGGCTACCAAGTGGCTATTACTGTGGCCCCTAGAGGCTGCACTGTGTATAGTAAGAAGAGAGCTCACCATCTAAATAGACAAGACAGGCAGAGTGGGAAGTGACTGCCCCAGGTGTCAACTCCCAGCCCTGTGCCCTGTCTGCTCAATCATGCTGCCTTCTCACAGGTGACGACAGGTTTTGGCTAATACTGACCTGAAGTGGGTTCAAACCTTTAGGACCCTAAGGAGGAAAATTTCCCTTTTCTCATCCTTTTCCTGAGCCATCGTGCCAGTTGCTATCTGTGATTTTTTGAGGAACATGCAATCCTCTGGCTATGGCTGCTGGAAAAAATTACATTATAAAAAATGACCATAACTCATAGAAACATCAAATGATGGCCAAAACTGGCAGAAAGCTCCTACCTACAAGGGATAAAGCAACTGTGTTCTCAAAATCGTGCTGTGCAGTGTTGTGGTGCGCAATGCTGTGCAGTGCTTTGCTGTGCAGTGTTGTGGTGCGCAGCGCAGTGTTGTGGTGCGCAGTGCTTTGCTGCGCAGTGTTGTGGTGCGCAGTGCTGCGCAGTGCTGTGGTGCGCAATGCTGCGCAGTGTTGTGGTGTGCAATGCTGCGCAGTGTTGTGGTGTGCAATGCTGCGCAGTGTTGTGGTGTGCAATGCTGCGCAGTGTTGTGGTGTGCAATGCTGCGCAGTGTTGTGGTGTGCAATGCTGCGCAGTGTTGTGGTGTGCAATGCTGCGCAGTGTTGTGGTGTGCAATGCTGCGCAGTGTTGTGGTGCGCAGTGCTGCGCAGTGTTGTGCTGCGCAGTGCTTTGCTGCACAGTGTTGTGCTGCGCAGTGCTTTGCTGCGCAGTGTTGTGGTGCGCAGTGTTGCACAGTGCTGTGGTGCGCAGTGCTGCACAGTGCTGTGCTGCGCAATGCTGTGCAGTGTTGTGGTGCGCAATGCTGTGCAGTGCTTTGCTGTGCAGTGTTGTGGTGCGCAGCGCAGTGCTTTGCTGCACAGTGTTGTGGTGTGCAATGCTGTGCAGTGTTGTGGTGCGCAGCGCAGTGTTGTACTGCCTGTGCAGTGCTTTGCTGTGCATGTGGTGCGCAGTGTTGCACAGTGCTGTGGTGCGCAGTGCTGCACAGTGCTGTGCTGCGCAATGCTGTGCAGTGTTGTGCGCAATGCTGCACAGTGCTGTGCTGCGCAATGCTGTGCAGTGTTGTGGTGCGCAATGCTGCACAGTGCTGTGCTTTGCTGCACAGTGTTGTGGTGTGCAATGCTGTGCTGCGCAGTGCAGTGTTGTGCTTTGCTGTGCAGTGTTGTGGTGTGCTGTGCTGTGCAGCGCTCGGAACTGGGGTGACACCACCCCTCCTTTTAGCCTGTGGACAAGCTGAAGTGGGCAGGACATTGACGTCACAGTCTGCTTTCAGCACATGCCCGACCGCGGCGCTATCTCTATGACGTCATGCCGGTAAGGCCCCGCCCCTTAGTCTCTGTCGGCACACTGGC